CCCACCCTGCTCGCAACGTGTACCGCACCATCGACTCTTTTCTCGGTTTTTTCTATATTGATTCGCCGACACGAGCCCTCGGTTGTGTCGTGCAGCGGAGTTGTGGCCGCATTTCCATGTGAAGTCGACGTATTCAGCTATTCACTGCGCGGACGCACCGCGTTATCGCCGAGCAGTGGCATCGTCAACTGCCCATGACCGAAGCGAAGCCACTTCATTCCGTTCTGCCCGGAATGGCGCCATCTTTGCGCCAACGGAACATCCTCTCGTCTGTCGTCCGTCGTGTGTAGTTAGCACGGTGCAACGGTTATCAAGCTTCTGCACGTCATTGAGTCATGTTGACAAGTGACAGCGGCCGATCGCCAAATTACCTGCTAGTCTGAACGTTACAAGACGTCGTTGATTGAATTCAATATTCTCAGGACTTGGCCTTGCACGCATGGAGGAATAACTTCAGATCACGAGGCCGCGGAGTGGTTCGCAATCTTGCCCTGGTTCGTGGCTTCGTTACGATGCATGCCTCAGTCTTGTACCACCACCAACCCAAACGCACATTTGTCAACAGGGCACAATTACCACCGGAACTTGACAACCCAGGCTACCTGCAATCTTCCGAGAGCTCGAATTCCGAAGCACGAACTACTACAGCCCTGCCTCGGGTGCCGTGCGGGATCGTTCAAGATGATGCGCCACAAGGAACGACCCCAAGCAGTAAGCATCGTGGCTCGAAAAGAGCATAAAACGCCGACTATGAATGATTTCAATTCTCAAGAACTCAAAATCGCTACAGATCGCCGTTGCCATTATGCGATTAGTAGTAAATATTGCCTTGCCCCCTGGTGCTAATGGCATCTCCACAGCTTCTTGTCTTTAAGGTCAAGATCTGTCCGGTACTTCTCGGCCAACAACAGACATACCTGGGATTGTCGCAAACGGGAATCCTGTCGCCCAGGCAGTGTGCCTATGCGGCGTCGATCGTCCCAAAGAGGAGACCCTGCTTTACCATCTGGGGATCATCAGCACCATATCATGACCACATATCTTATGTGCCATATGAGACCACACCACCCGTGCACCGTAGATTCTGCATGCAAAGGCTAGGTTCGTACGAAACGATTCTGCAGCGACCCCTCGAACACGTCATAGACAGTGTTGTTCGACATGGCCACATTTCATATCTAGATCTGTTATCACAGCGCGTTGCACAGCGCATCCGCCTCAGCGTATCGCAACACAACCAAGACACCCACTCACCACCAACCCAGTCCCTGCATCTTACCACGACCTCAAGAACACCCCCAAACCCTGCAATCATCCCTCACAAAACTCAGTCTTACGCCATGACGTAGCCTTCACCCACGCCCCGAACGACACATGACACCCTCAATTAACCCAACACACCCGGTCGTAGTGTAGCGTAGCTGCGTCGCAACTCCCCCGAACCCAACCGCACATCTTTCAGCCCTACTGCCCTAAAGACCCCGAAGCTAGGATCGACGTGTACAACATAAGTGAAGGAACGGGGGTCATCCATGTGCGCCGAGACAGTGGTTTTGACAGGGCTGGCAGGGAGGTGCTGGCGGGAGCGGGACGCGCGGACGACAACTCACCACGACACTACTATGGAGGAAAACGTTAAGCTATCGCATAGTCAAATAGTCAGTTAGTGTAGGATTGAATGCGTGCGCGACTGAAGAGACGGCGTGTTTGAGTTGACGAGAGAGAGGGAAGTTGGGCATCATCCACGCAGGACACGTCTTCTCCATGTACGATCAGTCGATTTCAAGATGACGCAGAGCAATGAGTCTCACAAATCCAGCAATACATATCCATCCCATGCGCAAAGGCAGTCTTCAAATGGAATGTCGCAATCATCAATTGGAGTCGATTTCGCGCAAGAGAAGTCCACCATCTAATCCCTCAACACCAAAACCAAAAGGTATATCGTGCGATCTACAGCTTCCCAACTTTGATCTCACACCCCCCAGACACAGTATCGAAGCTCAAACTACTCTTCCCATCCCCCTTCTTCGCCTCCACATGATTCTTCCCCGGCTCATCATTCTCGCCCAAAAGTTCCAACTCCTTGCCTTGCAAATGCAGCGCACCACTCAATGACGTGCCATCCACATTGCCCGTCCATTCCTCCGGGTAGGTGACATCCAACCCGCCACTTGTGCTCTTATGCGTACTCACCAACCCAGACATAGCCACGCCCTTGGCCTTATACGGTGAGCGCAGTGTGAGAGAAGTTTGGCCCGAGTGCGTGTGCGTGTAAATCTCGCTTTGATAGTCTCCTGATTTAAACGGCAGAAGATCAGCGGTAAAAAGTCCAGCCACACTGTTTATTTCCGTGCGCGACCCGTGGATGAAAGTTCCGTCAACAGAACCGACGGTCGTGTTGATGTAGGTTTGGTAGTCGCGCTCGGGGATGTGTTTGCGTTTGAAATCCGTGCGGATGCTGCCGCTCAGCGAGTCCACGCTGAAGACAGCAGGGTTTGTGGAGCCTTCTGCGGCGGGCTGGGGCTCGATGTCGATGTTCACGGAGCCGCTCTTTGTCTTCACGGAGAGCAGGTCGGAGAGGGCGTAGGCGCCGGAGATGGAGCCAGAGATGGTGGAGAGGTATGTTTGGCGTGAGGAAAAGGCGATGGCGTCGAGGGTGCCGGTGGTAAGGGAGATGGAGGTGGAGTCTGTGACGGTGAAGTTTGTGCCAGAGTGGATTTGCATGCCCATGTGGGTTGTTGCGATGTGCAGTTTTGACAAGGTGGCGCCGGGGGCCATGTAGATTACTACGGACATGCCCAGACAGGCCTTCCCGGGGCGTACGCCGTCGAAGCCGTCGGGGAAGGAGGGGTCGCCGATTGTGAGGCTGTTGTCTGTGGAGGCGTATCGGACGGCGTTTACGTCGACGGAGGCGGATACGGCGTAGGATGTCTTTACTTGGATGGTGCCGGGGGCTTGCTCCGGAGGGGCGGTTGCGACGTGTATCCAGCCTGCTACTCGTCTGTATGGTCCGTCGAGTTGGTGGACAGCTTCTTGGATGCTGAGCTCGCTGGTCTGACCGAAGTCGTGGTGCTCCGTTCGGACGTTGTAGTCTTTCCCGCACTTGGATGGCCAGCGAATGGGGAAGGATTGTTTTGGTGCGGTGGGTTGCGCTGCGGCGGATGGTGAGGGCCATGGGACGGCGATAAGACTGGGTTTGTCGGAGTCGTCGTCGATGAAGCCTTCGGGGTGGGCGGCATCACCCTGCGCGGACTGTGCTGAAGATAGGGAGGTAGTAGCGGAGTTCTTGACGGGTACGTTAGTATGATCAAGTACTTCCTTGGAAGTATTTACTAACCTGTCTGTCCCTTCGGACTGACACCGCAGCAACCATGAGGGCCAACATAGCAGACACGAGCATCATAGCAAGCACTGTGCCGACCACCTTCAACCATGTCTTCTTGAGGCATTGCGACTTGAGACTCCGTCTTCCGTATTGTTCTTCCTTGTACGCCGCATCCTGGGCTTCTCTTCCATCAAAGGAGAGCAGCCTGGCGCCTTCTTCGCCACTCAGTCGACTCGTGTAAAGACCAGGCGTAGTGGCTTCAAGGTAAGTAGGCGGCGGCCTCTCATCCGTCCCAGCCTCTTGTCCCACAAAAGCCTCCATAAGCGGTGTCGAGCGGTCATTATACGGCGATGGCTCGATGGTAATCTGAGGCCTCGAGGACCGACTGTTCGCTGATGCTGTGTCGATATACATGATTCGCGGTTGAGACCGTCAACGAATAGTGTTTTTGAGAAAAGAACGAGTATTGAATAAAGATTGTAACGTGCGCACGCGCAAAGAATGGACCGAACCAGGGTATCAAGAATGTACAAGCAACAAGGAGAGTAAGAGGGTGTGGAGGTCAAGAAAGAGGCCAGGCAGCCATCGATCTAAGTAATCATCCCAAGCTCAGGCATTCAAAGCTTGATCTGCAACTCCAAGGGCTGGGCCTACATATTGTGCTGCTACAGATTTGTTTCGGTGCTGGAAACGCTGCATGTTTGATGTTGGCTTGGCGAGGGTGTGTGCAAGCGAACTGCCGTTGCTTCCAGAATCTCTAGCAACCCATCCTTTTGATGTTTCGACCGAACTTAGGTTTAGATACTATCAACGCGTGATCAACAGTCGCATCTCAGGGCGGAACTGCTCTGAGCAAAAAAAGCGCAGAGGTGGTGGCTCGTAAGCTTGGTGGTGACAGGTCGTGGCTGGTGTCGTTGGAGGCGTTGTCGGACGATGGGGACGCTAGGCTAGGGGCTTGCAACGCTGTCGATCAGGCACTTGGCACCTCGGTACAGGCACACGGCAGCACGCAGATATGCCTGGACTTGACTGTACGACGTGGCGAGCGTTTTTGTGGTCAAATATGGCAGAATACCGAGGAGCTTACTAGCAGATATCGATCAGGATGACCGGGTAATCGGGTAGGTTCGACATGCATACTCAAGCCTCAGTCGATGGAACATCATTGGGTTAAGTTAATGAAAGCATCGTACAAGCTCGTATCTGAAGTTCAGCTGAATGAGGCTTGAGATATGTATATACGAGGGCAGTCTCGTCTGGTAGCGGATGTTGCGTGCAGGACTTCCCATCGCCGCTCGCTGGCAACATGCGACTCGTTCTTGCAGTGGTGTTCCTCGTGCAAGCACTCTGCTTCGAGGTTGCTGCAAAACTCGCAAGCTGTCGCGATCCCATAGTGCGGAAAGAATGGTAGGCTGCCCTTGGAGAAACATGTGAGTAAGACAAAAGTTGGAGCTTACGAATCTGTTAGGCGATCTCTTGACAAAACAGAGAAACTGCAGTACATTGCTGCGGTACAATGTCTTTTGGAAAAGCCAGCCGTCACTCCTAGTGCTGCTGCACCAGGTGCGCTTTCGCGATATGATGATCTTGTTGCGACGCACATCAACCAGACGATGTCCATACATTTTGTGGTAGGTGCGGCATAATTTGATTCAAAACGATGCTGACCGCCATGAAGGGTCACTTCCTCCCCTGGCATCGTCTCTTTACCTCATATTACGAGAGCTTATTGCGTGAAGAGTGTGGATATCATGGCGCACAGCCGTATTGGGACTGGACATTGGATACTCCAACTGCCAACTTTGTTCAATCACCCATATTCGACGCAACATACGGCTTTGGTGGGAACGGCCCTCTTGTGCCGGTCAACACGTCGAACAACGAAGTGCCAGGGCGAACTGGAGGCGGCTGCGTACAAGATGGGCCTTTCGTCAACATGACGGTTCATCTAGGCCCTGCTGCGTCGCTCGCAAGAAACGACCAGTGTCTACGGCGAGACCTGGCGCCCGACTACGCCGCCACGTATCTGGGCAAAGGTAAGTTGGACACAGTCATGGCGCAGGCGGATTACGGATGGTTCGCGCGGACGATGGAAGGTGGTCCAGCCTGGGACGATAGTCAGATCCACGCTGGTGGGCAGTACGTGTTCTTCCTTGCAGGGTCCTCGCGGTAATGCTAACGTCGTCTTCTCAGCTTTGGTGTTGGTGGCACCTATGGCCAGATGGGCGATCCGTTCGCATCGCCTGCCGACCCAATTTTCTGGCTTCATCACGCCAATCTGGACCGCGTGTGGTGGTCGTGGCAGGCGAGGGACCTGGGGAATAGATTGCGCGACATATCTGGACCCATGGTGCTGCAAGATTGGAACAACGCGCAGGGCGGCAATGTAACGCTGGACTTTCCGCTCTCGCTGGGTTATAATGGCTGGGATGCGACAATTAGTGATGTGATGGACGTTAGGGATCTCTGCTATTCGTATGAAGAGCTCTACTGAGCGGTGTTGAGGAAGCACATTCCAGAACAATGTCCTGTCATGTGGTGTCGTGAAGGATGGTGAAGGTTGCCTGAGAGCGGACCCCCGAGGGCGGGGCTTGGCGGTTGACGTAGCGAATTGTCGCATTGCGGGCGTGTCCTTTCCAAGCTTCACGTCAACGATGAGAGTCGAATCCCGATAGCAGCCCGCAAACTCTCGACATGGCCGCCCTGCAGAAGCTGTCGCAACTGTCGCAGCCGCATTGCGTCCTGCTCGCCGTACAATATGCCACCGAATCCAACATCCTAGCGCTGCGGGCGCTGACAGCACTCCGGGACGGGGATCTGCCGCTTGAGCTGACCCTGAGCATTCTCCTCAACTACCTCCCCGAAGAGAGCGACCCGGCGTCGTACTACGAATATCTGCATGATCTGGCGACTGGATCGCGGTTTCCCGGCGAGAACCCTGGGGCATCGCTAGACATAACATCGGTGGAACAACTCTCAAATTCACGGGCGAAGAAGAGGAGACATGCGCTGGATCTGCCGCCTGTAGTACATCCTCTGTATGCGGAAGAGACAGAGCTTGATCTCTTTAGTCACTTCCTTATACACCGCGCCCACCGAATAGACGCGCAGACGGGCCTCCTGGATCTCGTGCCTCAGCTGGTGGTTCCCTTCCTGGGCCACTCCGAATACCTACGCACGTGGTTCATATCGACCGTCCTCCCACTCCTACGTCTCAGCTACGAGTACTACCCACAGTCTACTGCAACCACGCTCGACGAGTTTGCGGTACTCAAAGGGCGACGTGCCATCGATTACCAACTCTCCCACGCTCGAAGCGCGACCGAGACCAATACACACAACGCGGCACGGGATCTGAAGGGCGTAGTCGCCCCATGGCTATGTGGAGCGAACGATCGCAAGAGGCGGAAAATCGCACACGAAGGTCGGAGAGCGTCGATCGCCCAGGATCAAGCACGGGAACCAGACGACTGGGATTGTCTGTTCCAATGGCTGCTACATGCATCGAAGGAACACTTGGTGCTTGTCACGGCAGCCATCTCGGACTGGGACGGCCCCGAGGATATGGACCTTGGTGGCTACGAAGAAGGACGAGACTACGTCGATGACCAACAACAGCGGCAGCTGGAGATGAAATATGCACGGACAGCGCTCGCATGTCTCTACCTGGTCGATAAGAGTGACATCACCTCGTTACAGACTGCGCATTCGCTCTTGACGAGGATATGCACGCTTCTCAATTATGACCCGCCTCCAGACCTTAGCATTGGAGTCGCCCAGTTACCCAGCTACGACCTGAAGGATCCTCTGCTCCAGGACTCGACTACTGCTCTACTGAGAGAGGATCGTCTACTGGATCCTGACAATGTCATTACACAGCCTGGCGCTGAAGCGTTTCGCATTATTGAGCTCATCATTTTCTCGTCGTGTGTCCTATCGACTTTGCAGCAACCAGTATCTATACGGGAGATTGCGAAGATGTCTCTGCGGGATGACTACTCCGAGCAACTATCATTACTCCAAAAGATACTGCACACGCTGAACAGCGGCTCCAAAAAGGACAGCGAGCAATGGGCCACTATTCGGTCAAAGTTGCTGTGGCTTTGGAACTGGGGTACCGACTACCACGACGAAGACCGAAGAGCCCAAGGTGTCTTTGGTTTGCTGGAGCGGAAGACTCTGGAGACGGAGGTATTGAAGGCTCTCTTGGAAAGCAACCACTTTTCACTCGCGATAGACCTCTACATCAGACCAGGATTTGGCGAGCAGCCGCTGCTCTCCTCGGATGTGGAGCAGGTCGTGCTCGCCTCAGCCATGCACCACTACGACAACGCCAGCAACGGTAACCGTAACAGAGGTGGTATGAAGCGTGCGGCTGATATCATCAATGCATTCGCTCCTCACTTCCCTTCCTCGTCGCGATTCCGTCGATTTCAAGCACTGCTCACAGCAACTCACGCCATGTCATTTTACTCGCTCATACTCCAGCATGGCGTCCCTTTCCAGCCGGTCAATATCCGAGTGAGCCACAATCCGTTGTCGTTAGTGCGTAAGCTACTTTCGCAAAATAGCGGAAGTTACACCAAACTCGACGACCTGGTTTCGATCGGCCAGAACTTGGTAGTTGCCATGCCCTCAACCATCATGGATGAAGATTCAGGAAACGTGCCAACGGATGCCGCCACGATCGAGCGGAAGAAATCCGCGGCAGAGCAACGAGTGATTGGCATGGCTGTCGAGGCTGCACTGGAAGAAGACGACTTCGAGACGGCCTACTCATACGTCGTCAACCGACTAACCCCCTCAACACCGTCACCAACACCACCAATGTCCTCAAATTTCTTCTCCTTCGGAACCACAGAAACCGAAGACCACGCCAACGACGACGCCGAAGACGTAGCCTGGCGCGCCGCCCTCCGCGCCGGCCGACACAACACCTCCCTCTCCTCATCCACCTCTTGGACCCAATCCAGCTCCACCGCACGCCCCGACCTCCGCCGCCTAGAACAACGCATGGAACTCCTCTCCCAAGCCCTCCTGCTCGCCCCACCCAACCACCTCGAAGAAGTCCTCGGCGTGTGGCAACAATGCGAAGCAGAAATGATGCACCTCCTCGCCCAAGAAACCGAAGCCGAAGAACGTTTCAACGACGCCGCCGACCGCAAACTGCCTGGCGCTTTCGACCTCGACTCCATCACCGTGCAGCCGCAGCGCCGCGAAGTAGGCCGCGGCGCTGTAGAAGAATCGCCAATGGGGTTGTTCGATGTAGCGAGGGGAGCTGCGGCGGCGTTTTCGAAAACGGCGTTTCCGCTCAGGAGTAGCAGTGGGAGTATGCAGGTTGCGCCGAGTACGGAATCGCGGTCTGGCAGGGTTAGTATGGATGGCAGTGAGAACGGTAGCATTGATGCGCAGGAGAGGGTGAGAAGGAGGGATATGGTGGCTAATGCTGCGACGGGGGCGTTGGCAAGTGGAATTGGGTGGATGTTGGGTGCTAAGCCTGTTAATGAGTGAGGGGTTGGGTGTCATGGATGTCGTTGAGATACGAGTGCTCGCGAACGATGCTATCAACCTTTTTGATTCCAAGGTGGAAGTTTGACACCCTGGATATCCTTCTATGCTCCTGTGGCCGTTCATCTCGTTCATTAGCGGGCTTCAATGCGGCCTCATGATCGTATCAGCCATAGCATGTCCTCAACCACAATGCTCGAAGCACAGTTCCAAATCGGTTTCTCTACCCAGGACTATTGTGCAACATGTTTTGGCTCATTTCTGTCCAAGTTACTCAGTGCTACTGTCGCTATCCGTTCGCCACACATCATCCCTCCGCCGTGTGACTGTGACTAGATCTTCACTTTCACTTCCATATACCTCCATCCCGCTCTATAGCAACACCGCATCTCCCAGACCGCCATTGTTGCCTTCGCCGTCCGAACAGATACCTCATCTTACGATCTTGCTAAATATCTCACCTCCAATCATCGAATTCGCGGTGACACACTTCCCCTCGATACCGTTTGCTCGTATCTTGTGTACCAGCCAACCACGCCTTCTCCGCGATCACCGCGATCGCAACTTCCCCACGATATCAACCCCGCAGCTAGGGTCGCGACTGCCCTCACCGAGTACCTTCACCTAGAGACGCGCGGTCAGGCGTCGCTTCCCCGGATCCTTTTACCTCGGCGCGTTTGCACCAGATAACCACGTAACTTGCTCAGGTCTCGGGGACGGTAAGCGGGCGTTATAAACAGCTCGCTCGCCCTTTATCCTTTTCTCCCTCCTTCGTCAATGCTATTCGGGTTGTTCAAGCAAAACAAGCCAGACGCACTCACTCACTCTCACGTCACTCACACACCAGACCAGACCATCGCACGCACATCACTCACTCACTCCATCAACCCACACCCACTAAACCAAACCATCTCACACAACACACCAACACCACCTTCCCCGCTCGTACCCACGATCTCAACCCGTCAATCACCGCCAAAAATCTCTCCACCAACATGTTCGCCGCCATGTTTACCACTATTCTCCTATGCGCCCTCTTGGGAAGCGCCGCGGCCAGCGCCACGCCCACACCCAGTCCCACCACCACCGCAGACCCCAGCGTCCAGACTCAAGTCCGCGCCCAAACCTTCAAAGAAGCCGAATGCGGCGGCGCCTACGAGTTCCTCTGGATTGATCCAAATGTCTGCTATGGGCTTTCTGATGGGGTGAAGAGCATCAGGGTTGTGGGCAAGGATGGGGATATTAAGTATAACGCTCGTACGTCTGCATTCTACGCACTCTTGGCTGGAGTGAGTTTGATGGGATGGATTTTGCTAACGTTGGTTGTTATAGTGAACACCTACCCCAAGCCCAACTGCGGCGGCGGTTTCACTCTCCTCCCGATCTACGGAACCAAGACCTGCTTCTCTGTTGGTCTGGATGTGTCTATCAAGTTGAGCATTGGTCAGGATCCCTGAAGTGGATCTCGTCTGGGTAAGCCTTCCGCTGCTATTGAGTGGCGACATTGTCGTTGTCGATGTGGATGCTAATGCGTTCAGTGCGCTGCTCACGAGGCAATTGGTGATGGGTCTTCCGGGTTGGAGAACAAGGAGTATGATGGGTGCGGGAGATAGTGATACAGGCTACTGGAATGTCAAGAGAGTGGGCGAGAAGGGAGGGAAGAGTCACATCCAACACCATCCTACCATCTGTCTCACCACAGTGGGATTAACTCACTGACAGTCTGGTCAGCAAAATGAAATCATGACAAACTGCACCCGCTATCTCTTTTCATATGCGACCACGCCACCATCAATCACCGCACTTTCTCCTTCTCCTCTACATGCTCTTCAGCTCCACACCCACGCCTTCCCCCAGCCAGGGCACTAAAAAACGGCAAAAAAGAAGGCAAAAAACATACAACAGCGGGGATTCGCTAGTGGTCACCCACCTAACTACTAATCCGCCGGTATCATGCTTGTATATGGCTGAGCGGACGGGAAGCCTAATTTTCATGATCCTATGGTCGTATGTGTCAGTTTTGAAAACGTTTTGATCCATATACTCATTTATTACAATCGGAAGGCTCTTGGCGACTTGGACAGCTCTCCTCACGGCGCTATCCCCGGGCAAATAGCAATACGGGATTAGACGAGGTCACTCTACCGAGATTAGCCTAATCTACAGTGTTACTACATGTACACGGGCTCGTGCGAGTAGAGCCAAGTCTCTGTACCCCGAAACATCGTAGACTGAAACGCGCGAAGTGAGAAGGAGAGCGGACAACGGACATGATGCCTAACATGGCGATTTGTTCGTGTAATCGTTTTTTCTACCTTTGGACTAGCGAGATGGGATGATGCGACGTTTGGAAGATGAAGCTGGGGTCGATGGCTAGGAGGACTTCCTCGCAGGGCTGGCGGCGCATATATAGATGCCCTTCATCCACGGCGTAGAAAGCATTGTCATCACCATCACCATCCCCTTCACACCACTACCCTCTTCACGTCAACCAACGACTCCGGAAGTCGCATCACACCACCAACTCCACAAGTTCAAAGCACACAACTATCCCCCCTTCCACCATACCTTCCACCAAACAACCTCAGCCATCATGCGCTCAACCTCCTTCATCACATTCTTCGCCCTTGCGGCCGCTGTCGTCGCTTCCCCAACACCACAACCACAACGCGGATCCAACCCCGCACCCGGCAGCCCGGTCGATCCAGGCGTCAGAGTCCCCAAGGGAACTTTCTGCACAGCATCAAACGATCCAGACGTCATTGGTAAGTTCTGACTCTACGAAGTGCATGTGAGACATATATACTGACTTCGTACCTTTACTGCAGGTTGCAACACGGGTGATGGCGGCACCTTTAATGTTATTAATGGGAAGATTAGTGGGTGTGCTGGATGTACAAAGGAGAATGGGTTTGGGAGATAAGGGATGGATGAGGTGGTTTGGGAGGAGGAGGGGGTTTGGGGGAAGGAGGGACTCAGGCAGGCGCTGCGTAGGAGGGAGTTTGTATAGCCGCTACGGGGGCCTTGTTGCAAGGGGAATCGTTTTGCGAGAACGTGAGGGAAGAAGTGACAACGGGGTACGATGATATCTACAATGGGGATATCCTCTGTTGTTGAAGATATACCATTACCTTGACACATTTTAGCGGAGTCCACGCAATCGCTTCTCACTAACGAGATAGTTCCTCTTCACGACACGTTAAGTGAATAGAAATCGCGACATAACGACACACAACTCTCAAGCTGTAGGTACATATCATGTGCCATACATCCATTGCTCCATCCTACATACTCCCAAAACACCCATCTCTAACCACCTCCCCAGCGCCAATATGTAGTTGAGATATATACTTCCACTTCATCTTCCCTCTTTTCCACTTCCCCAAGATGCATATACAACGAAAGAAAGAAGAGTACAAAGATGCGCTCGTAACAATGCGTTGCTAAACAAACAACAACAACTCCACCGCTGATGCTTTATGCGGAACGAAAGTGGGTATCCAAATCCACCACCCATGCTGGCCGTACTACCATGCCATCGTATCAACACTCTCCCTCTTTTTCTCCCCTCCTTCCACCTCTCCTCACCCATTGCTTATCTTATGATTTACAAAGCAATAGGCGGCACAGCATTCAACACCCTCGCCATCTCATTCGGCGCCATCTGCGCGCTCTGCAAACTCCTCACCTGACTTCCCTTTCTCAGTCTCTGCAATCCAAGAGCCAGTTTCCAACTCTCGGTTTCGTCAATCAGGAAGACGTATTTCTTGCCGTCGGCATCGCGGACCGAGGCGCGGAGGATGTGTAGGTTTTTGGTGGGTTGTTTGCCCGTCTGTTATGTTTGTTAGTATGTACTCAATACATCAAATGATGAGAAAAGATGTGGAGTGGAGAGATGACATACCTCAACCATCTTCAGCGTCCAAGCCTTGACATCCCACTCGCGCTGCGGAATGCCCCGGACATCATCATCGATGAATAAGCCCTCACTTTGTATTTTGAGGATCAAGCCATCGGTGACCTTGCCCACATTAGACACCAACTGCGCGACAGGCTTAGGGAAAAGATCATTGAACAGATACACCGCTTTGATAACGATCTTGTTCGGGTCGGCTGTCGCATATGGTCCACTTCTCGACGCAGGCGGCGATGTGCGAGTTGTAGACTGTGAAGGTGCGTACGAGGACTCAGAGTATGCGCTCGAGACGTGAGACCGGGTTGCTGTGCTGCGGGCGGGTCCCGTGGCAGTACGGGGTGGAACGAAAGACGCGGCGTCAGATTCGGAGCCGAGGTAGGATGCAGCGGTTGGTCGTTCGTATGGTTTCTTGGGTGTGACGGTTGCTTTGATGGGGGAGGAGTGGGTTGAGGTGACGGATGCAGCGGGTGGTGGTGTGTTTCTTGCTCCAGCATATGGATCGAGACGTTCGCCTCCACCAACATTACCATACGTAGTTGAGCGGCGGGCAGTGAGGTCTGGAACCGCTGCTGTGGCTGCTGCGGTGGCAGCTTCGGCTTTGATGCGTTCGGCTTCAGCTTTGAGTTTTGCTTCGCGGGCTTCGCGGTCCTTCTGAGCTCGCTCACGGGCTGCTTTGAGGCGTTCGGCGCGCTCAGCATCTGTCTTCGCTTTCGCAAGAGCAGCCTCTGCTTCCGCCTTCGCTTTGGCGGCAGCCTCTTCGGCGGCAATCTTCTCTGCTTCTGCCTTTCTGGCGGCCTCCTCGGCGGCTTTGGCGCGTTGTTCCGCTTCGAGCTTCTCGCGGATCTCCTTCTCGACTGCTGCACGCACCTCAGCCTCGCGAGCTTCTCGTTCGGCCTTCTCTTTCTCAATGGCTTCTTGTGCCTTGCGGGCTTTCTCTTTGGCGAGGCGCTCGCGGGCTTCACGTTCGCGTTGCTCGCGCTCACGCTTCCGCATCTGCTCCCACTTCTCCTTTTCGGCTTTGGCTTTGGCGGCTTTGGCTGCCTCTGCTTTAGCCTTTTCTTCGGCCTCCTTCTTCTGTCGGGCCTCTTCTGCGCGCTTGAGTTCTTCCCAGGCTCGTCTGCGGTCCTCTTCGTCCTTCTTCTTCTTCTCCTCTTCAGCGCGTATGCGAGCCTCTTCGGCGAGTTTGCGCTCCTCTTCGGCCTTGCGTTCTTCTTCAGCGATGCGTTGGCGCTCAGCTTCTTCTTGCCGTTTCTTCTCTTCTTCGGCAAGTCTTTGTGCCTCAGCCTCACGCTTCTTTCTCTCTTCTTCAGCTAGCCTCTGCTCTTCAGCTTCACGCTGCCGTCGAGCTTCTTCTTCGGCCTGCCGTTTGGCTTCTTCAGCACGCTTGCGCTCTTCTTCTTCCTCTCTCCGCTTAGCCTCCTCTGCCTCCTTGAGCTCCTTCTTGAGCTTCTTCTTGAGATCTGCCTCTTGTTTCTTCCTAAGCTCCTCTTCCTGTTTCTTCTTCTCCTCTGCCTCTTCGGCGCGCTTACGTTCGGCTTCTTCCTCTTCCTGCTTCTTCTTGGCTTCCTCAGCTTTCTTGCGCTCTTCCTCTTTCTGTTTGCGCTCCTCCTCCTCTTGTCGTTTCTTCTCCTCCTTCTCTTTCCGCCGCTTCTCCTTCTCCTCTGCCTGTTTCCGCTCCTCTTCGGCTCGCTCGGCCTCTTCGTCGAAGGAAGGTTCGTCGTCTTGAGGTGGTGGTGGTGGCGAGCCAGCCCCGTATTGGCGGTATCCACCCCATCCGCCGTGAGGTGGAGGACTGCCGGGGAAACCGCCGTTTGGAGGCGGTGGTGGAGGCGCTCGTTGATAGCTTGAGCTTCCTCCTGGTGTATGTGTGCCAGCTCCAGCTCCTGCTCCACCACGGCCATAGCCCCCTCCGCCACTGCTAAAGCGACCCCCTGCTTGTGTCTGACCAACTGCCCATCCGGCAACCAACATCAAGACCGCCAGCAGTATGACGCCATTGCCGCCAGTCGTGACTCCATGTCGGACTATGAGGAAATATTGCTTCATGTAAGGCTCGGCGGCCTTCCACAGCACGATGCTCGCGATGGTGCTGAGCACACCCGCGATGAAGCTGTTCTGCTGCACGCCCATGCTGGGTAGGTATATGAAGCCGCCTCCTGAAGAGTGCGGCGGTATGATGAAGATGTCGTAGTTGCCCGGTGGCAGGCCGCCGCTTGGGCCGGGGTCGGGAGGTGCATGGCTGCCGCCTGTAGTCTTTGGGTTTGCGCCATGCGGAGGCGGCGGAGGTGGAGGACCGTCGTCCATGGTTGGGTAGGCCCACGAGGGCGACGAGTTTGGGTGCTATGGGATCGTTGCGTGGGGAGATTGAAGCTGAAATTGCTACCGGCGGAGGTCGTCGGGCGAGGCAGTGCAAGAAAACATCAGCTCCACTGACTCGAGATGGAGCGAACGGCAGCGGGGCGGTGTAGGTGGGGTGCGGCGGAGATCAATTTTTGCTTTGTGCAGAGGGCAATTGGGTTTGTGAACACGGTTGCAAACTAT